CGGCTCCGCGCGCCCCGCCCCCAGAGCCCCTTCCGATTGGCCGGAGCTCTGCTTGTGCCCACACTGAAGGCGGGGCCAGCGCCGAGGCCGCGCTCAGCGTGCCTGTGCTCTAGGGACGCTTGGACGGTTTCCCTGGCAACAGAGACACGCCCAGCGCCAAAGTAGTCTCTTACAGCGCTGTCTTGGGGGGGCGGGTACCGGGGATTGAACTCGGGTCCTTTCGCTTGCAAGGCAGGCCACTGAACCGTTGAGCTAAATCCCCGGCCTATTACAGCGCTGTCTTGGAGGCTGTTTCCTTAATAAATATTGAAAGCATTACCATGCTATTGCTAGGCAGCCAGCGCGGAAGCAAAGGTGCGAACCTTTTGTAACTTTCATAGTGCCAAGGTTACAGAGGAACTCTCACTTATGTCTTACTTCTGTGAAGTAATCACGAATTGCCTCATTTTATGGATGATGATGATGTCGAAAAGGCACTCAGATCACTTGACTTGCCCGTGGCCAATATGTGACAAATAAGGAGAGCTCTATTATCTTGTGAGAACTATGGACTTTTTCTAAAAATAAGAATCATTTCCAGTTAATTCCCAACATTCATTCCTTAACTGTTATTTCTACTGAAAAAGTAAAAAAGAGTAATTTAAAAGGGAAGAAAAAGTAAATATTTGGTGGTTGTCTATAATGCATTGGGCAGTGTTCCAAAAGGGATTCAAACAGTAAACCCGCAGGCAAATATTTAGTATGTCAGGTATAAAGGACATTAGGGGGAATTGGGTAAGGGATATTGGGGAGTGTGTGGGGGAAGTCATTATATACAGTGTCCCCAGAAAAGTCTCTGTAATAAGGTGACATTGGAGTCTTACTGGATGAAGTAAGGGAGGGGCCATGAAAGAATCCAGAAGAAGTGTATTCAGGCTCTAGAGTGGCAAGTTCACAGGCTTTGAGTTGAGTATATCCGAAATAGTTGAGGAACAGCAAGAAGGCTAGTGTGGTTGGAAAAGAAAGCAAGGCAGAAAGGAGACCTCCCTGATTGGCGTCAATCTCTGTGCCATTTCAAAGATCTCCTCCCTCCCTATAAAAACCACACATAGACATTGAACCCTGTTTCTTCCAGGCTGTCAGCTCTTTCCCCTGGCCCACTCCTACCCTGAGGAGAGTATCTTTGCTAATAAATGTATGTTTTCATTTCTGCTTCTGTGTGTTCTGCTCAATTATTTGGGATATCAAGAACCTAGCACAGTTACAATCCCAGCATCTCAATGTCTAGTGTTCCACAGTGGGTATCTATTTTTTAAATACTGGTTGAGATGTGGAAAAGTGTGTGCTACTTACTTGCTTCGATTTGTGTTAACAAGGAGATGCAAGGAAGACACATACAGGCACTTGCGTGGAATATATCTGAGGTATAAATAAGAAACTAACATTGATTGCTTCTGAGCAAGGGCACTGAGGAACCAGAAGTCTCTGTGGGATGAGTGGGGAGTTCTTTGGAATGTAAGATGTCTTTTGTATTTGTCATCCATTCTTTGTCTTGCTGTCTTCTCCAACCACACTAGCCTTCAAATCACTTGACTTACAAGACAAAGAGAGCTCTATATCTTGTGAAAACTTTAGACTTTTTTCTTATAATAATAAGCACAGTTTCAGGAGGAATGAAATACATTAGTATGGCCTTTCCCCAACCTCCCCAGCTCACTGCCACAATTTGGTGAGATTGTATTTAGATATAATCCCTGTAAAAATAAAGTTAATTCATCATACTGATGATATTACGATGATTCCCCCTTGGAGACACCTAGAAAAGCCTGAGAGCTGTAACAGCAACTACAATGAACCAAATGGTTGATTAATCCAGCTAAGTCTCAGCACCTGCCCCGATCAGTGACATATGTAAAAATGACTCTGGGCCTCCAGACGTATGCTATAAACCATAAATACATTACTCTCACTCCAGATCTCTGCTAATAAAAAAGCAGACACAACAACTTAAGAGGCTATTTGTCAAGGTATTGAAAACATATAATGGTTAGAGACCCAAACATATTCCTGAAAAATCCCAAGAATTCCATACATTTATAGGACTTCAGAAGTTTTCGACACTAGCATGCATGCAAATTAGACTGAAATATAATACTGCCATCTTGTGGCAGCTATTAGGAATTTTAGATTTTAAAAGTTTTTCCCCATGAGCTAAAGTGTTTGTTTGCCAGCATGCTCTTAGGCTCTCATAAAAACAATTCAAATGAAAAGGGAGACTTGCTATGCTGTTTTGGGGGATGTAAATCAATAGCGTCACTATGCAGATAAAGATGGAGGTTCCTAAAGAAAGTAAAAACAAAAATAGATCGCGATTGGCCAGTACCACTCCTTGGTATATATACCCAAAGGATTTAAAGTGATACCCACATTCCCATGTTTATTGTGGCACAATTCACAATAGCCAAGTTAAGGACTCATCAGATGAATGGAGGAGCCAAATGGAATGATACTCAGCCGAAGAGAATGAAATCATATCACTTGTAAGAAAATGGGTGGAAATGATGTCATCATGATAAGTGAAATGAACCAGATTAAAAAAAAACAAACAAACGTCACATGCTTTCTCTCATATGAAGTATCTGCAAAAAATACGTATAGTATGGAAGCCGAAAGAAGAGTTGGAAAATATAAGAAGGAGAACAGAAAAGGAAGTGAAGGACAAGAGAAGGCAAAAGGCAGAATGGATGTGATCAAAATACATCACAGACATGTAGGAAAGTGCCACAGTGGGACCCCTTATTCTGTATTAGTAGTGTGTGCTAATAAATATGGAGAGCACAGCCCTACTGACCTGTGATTCACCCGAGCAGTGTGGGCGTGTCGTCGCCCATAACAATGGGCGGGTTCAACTGGTTGTCTGACCTGTTGCCTAGCAAAGGTAACCCATAATAGTTGTTATCGTACTTGCGGTTTCCTTCCGGATGTGGGCGGTACTCTCTTGCAGCCCCGCAGCTGGAGAGTATAAAAGGAGAGGTCCTGTACTAAACAGTGCAGTAGTACCATGAGAAGAAGAGTACCTCCGTCTCTCTGTCCTCGTCCTTTCAGGTTTAGGACCTGCTGGCAGGATCCTGACGTCGTGGCTCGCGACAAGTAGCACCCGAACAGGGACCTGAAAGTAGAGGAGGATACGTAATCCCGGACCCAGGTCGAAGGCAGCGACGGTCGGTGCTCGGGAGGACTGACCGCTGCGCCTGATCCTCGCAGTAAGTCTACTGTTCACTTCGCGAAGAAAAAGTGAAAGAAAGTAAGAAAAAAAGTGAATAGAAGGTAGAGAGTGTCAAGTCCGTTGGGAAGATTTTATTAAAAAAAAAGAAAAAAGAAATTCTAGTCAGAGCCTATTGAAGGCACAAGGAGTAAAAGTTAAAAGGGCACAATTAGAGGCCTTTGTTAAGATTCTGGACACAGTTTGTCCATGGCTATATGGTAAGGCAGAAATAAACGCTAAAGTATGGGAGAGAGTTGGAAAACAGTTGAGTAAGGCCCTTGTGGCTGAGCCAGATCGTTTTCCAGAAAGTATCTTTTCTTATTGGGCTTTGTTAAACACCGCTCTCAAAACTCCCACTGAAAAGGAGATCTCGACAAAAAGAAAAAAGAGGACCTTCAAAAGGAAGGCAGAAGAGCAGTGAGTTTTCTTATAAATATTAAAAATGGGAGCAGGCAAGAGTTGCAATGCTTTTTGTACATATGCTTAAAGGTTTATTGTGTGTCAGTGGTGCTGGAGTAGGACACCAGCAATTGTGTAATTTATTAGAATTTGTAGAAATAGTTTGTCCTTGGTTTCCTTTTCTTTGCTTCTGTCTTTCTCTTCCTGTTAATGTCTGAATTGGTAATTCGTGATCGGGATCATTTTGGAGGGAGGGAGGGAGGTCCAGGCAGACGTGCTAGTGGACTCCCCGCCGCAGGGGCCGGAGAGGTCCTTTGCCCCTCTGGTAGGAACTCTGTCTCTCTGTTTATGGGGAGGGAGGTTAATTTTTTCCCTTCCTCAAGACCCTCTGGTCAAAGTGTTGTTCTGGTTTTGGAACAGGAGATTAAGGAGATTCCCTGACAGAGTCCCTGGTTCTTCTTTCGGTTTGGTTTTCATAAGTCTTTGTCTTACATTGTTTGGCTTCTTTTGCTCCAGCCTAGGAGTTGCTCACCCTTCTGCTCTGCGACAGTCAGCTGTTAGTGAAAACTACTTTTAGTAACATTTCTTGTGCATTGTTTTATACTGCGATTATAGGGTTAACTTGCTCTTCTAGGTTAATACTGTTCTATTGGCAGCCAGTCAAATTTTAAGATGTAACAATCTAAAAGCAGAAAAAGGACACTTTAAACTGAAGTTTGTTATAGAAGGTTAATAGTAAATGAGATAGAAAAATATTAGGAAAACTATTAAGTAAGAGTTGTACTTTTAACATGAAAGGTTTTTGTATGTTCCTCTTGTCTTTACCTAAGAATGTAGAGAATGTTTATGGAAATGATTTATAAAACGTTTGCTTGTTGGTTTCAAGTTTGTTATAAAAGGTTTACATTTATAGTCAAGAAGAGTATTCATTCCTTTAACCCTAATTCTACAAGAGATCTCTGTTAGTTTTGATCTGCAAAAATTTTGACTAGTCATACAAAAAGAATTTATAATTCAATTGACCAAAACCATCTGAGTGCACTCGTTAAAATTGTCTTATATGTTTGTCTGTCTTTAGTATTATATGTTTGTGTCTTAAATGTTCAAAGATGTTTGTATGTTTTTCATCAGAATGATGTCAAATGCAAGTGGATTGTTGATTTCTACAACCTGGTTTTATAGGATCAAATAAAAAACTTAAAAGTTGTATTTAATTATCTTTTAAGTTTGGATACGCTCCTGTTGGTGAATAAAGAAGCAGCTGCTCAGAAAATTTATTCTGATCTTTGTTCACTAGTGGGAGCCACCAAAATAATTTTCATAGCCTTATAAAAAGATATACCTTGTTAAATATGTTGTTAAAAATGTCTAATTGGCTATTATCAAAGGTCTGAATTATAAATACATTATTGTTTTTTGTTTTTTGTTTTTTTTCAGCTTTAATTGAATTTATTGGTACATTTTAGAGATACAGTACAGTTACATTCATTGTTGGGATCTTGTACCTCTACATGACAAGTCTTGAGTCTCATTTTTTCCCCTTACCTCTGCCCTCCCTTCACCCCCTCCTCCCCTCCCCATCTACAAACACTTTATTTTCATCTTTTCATTCTCTCACATTTTTTTCTTTTCCCTTTTTACTCTTCCCCTACCCATCCCACCTTTCCTACACCTTTAGCTCCTTTCTTCCCATTTCTAAATGTCAGTAATTTTATTAGAATCTTACGCATTGTTGCAGATTATTTACACCAGGGAAACTATTCCGTATTTACACGTGTCACTTATTTATTTCACTTAGGAGTATATCTTCAATATGTAACCATTTTCCTATGAATGAATCTATTTTCTCATTCTTTATGGCTGAGTAATATTCCATTTTATAGAAAAACCACAACTTCTTTATCCAGTTTCCAACGGATGGGCAAATGGGCTGTTTCCAAGATTTAGCTATTACAAACTGTGCCGCTATAAACATGGGTGCGCATACTTCTCTGTGATACGATTCTTTTAGTTCTCTTGGAAAGATACCCAGCAGAGGGATGGCTGGGTCAAATGGAACCTCTAGTCCCAGCTTTTTGAGGTATCTCCATATTGATTTCCATAGTGGTTGCACTAGTCTGCACTCCCACAAACAATGGAGAAGGGTTCCTTTCTCCCCACAACCCCGCCAACATTTGTTATTGTGTGATTTCTTGATAGCAGCCATTCTTTGTGGGGTGAGGTGGAATCTCAGTGTTGTTTTCATCTGCGTCTCTCGAATGACCAGTGATGTGGAACATTTTTTCAAATATTTTCTTGCTGCTTTTACTTCTTTGTCTGAGAAATGTCTGTTCATTTCGGATGCCCATTTTTGAATTGGGTCTTTATATTTGGGGGGACTGATTGTTTTGAGTTCTTTATATATCCTTGATAATAGTCCTTTGTCTGAGGAACAGCTGGTAAAAATTTTTTCCCACATTGTAGATTGTCTCTTAGTTCTGCTGATGGTTTCTTTTGAAGTACAGAAGCTTTTTAGTAAGATGAGATCCCAGTTGTTGATTCTATCTGCTAGTTCCTGTGCTACTGAGGATTTGTTCATAAAGTCTTTTCCTACACCAATGTCTTCCAGAGTTCTGCCTAACTTACCTTCCAGCAAGTTTAATGTTTCTGTTTTAATATTTAGATCTTTAATCCATTTGGATTTTAATTTAGTGCATGGCGAAAGATAAGGGTCTAATTTTAATCTGTGGCAGGTTGACATCCAATTTTTCCAACACCATTTATTAAAGAGGCTATCTTTCCTCCACTGAGGATGGTCAGCTACTTTGCAAAAGATGAGGTAGTTGAGTACATCTGCATTTGTTTTTGTGTCTTCCAGTCTGTTTCACTGATGTTCAGGCCTATTTCTTTGCCAGTACCATGCTGTTTTTATCACAGTGGCTTTGTAGTATAGTTTCAAATTGGGAATTGTTACACCTGGTGCCATGTGACTGTTGCCTATAATGGCTTTTGCTATTCTAGGTCTCTTGTGGTTCCAAATGAATTTTTGGATTCTTTTTTCTAGTTCTGTGAAATATAGTGTTGGAATTTCAATTGGCATTGCATTGAATATATATAGCAGTTTTGGTAGTATGGCCATTTTCACTATGTTGATTCTTCCTACCCAGGAGAAGGGGATATCTTTCCATTTTTTTATATCCTCTTCAATTTCTTTTTTCAGAGTGCTGTAATTTTCAGTGTAGAGATCTTTTGTTTCTTTTGTTAGATTGATTCCTAAATACTTCATTTTTTTGGATGCTATTGTAAAAGGAATGTTTTCCCTTATTTCTCTCTCCATGTGTCTGTTATTTGTGTATTGATTTTTGGGTATTCACCTTGTATCCAGATGCACTACTGAATCTTTCAATTAAGTCTAGAAGTATATTGGTGGAGTTTTTTGGATCTTCAATACAGAGTATCATATTATCAGCAAATACTGATAGTTTAACTTCTTCCTTTCCTATCTTTATTGCTTTAATTTCTTTCTCTTGTCTAAT